TAGTATCTTGTTCTATTAGTATTGATGTTTTGGAGAATTTCATTCTCAAACTTTTGATGAAAGTGCACTTAAAAGTAGACACTAACTCTGTCATTTCTCAACATGCTATGTACCCATTAAGGAAAATTTAAAGAATGAAAATACAAAATTTGCATTCATCCAGGAAATATTCAAATGGGGGGAAAAAACCCAACAACAACTGGCTACAGTGACACATGCCTTAGTTCACACCTGGGCAAAGTGCGGCCCAAGGGCCACATGCGGCCCACAACCTGGGCAAAGTGCGGCCCAAGGGCCACAGGTCGTTGCTCCAGTCCGTTGTTCAAGCACTTGTTCAAGCCCAAGACAGACTGGATTTCTCTCACTGAACAAGTTGAACATCAAAACCATTTATAGCTTTTTGTCTAAAGTTGATCAGTTGCTTATCTTTAACATACCGCAAAAAACCTCTTTAGTATTTGTGAAGATTAACAAGTTTAAAATAAAAACAATCATAACATCACTGTTTCATTTTATTTTTAAGTAAAGTTGGTTCAGCCCCCGATACAGTTCAGATTTTACATGTGGCCTCCTATAGAAATTAATTGCCCACCCCTGCCTTAGTTACATCCCATTTGGATTACTATAACATACTCAATGTGGGGATTACTGTATTAGAGTGACATGAAGGCAGGCAGCTGCCATGGGACATGTTGGATAATCTCCCCTGTTTTGTACCATCTGTACCTGAATTATGATTTATCTTATGCATTGCCAGTAGATGTTTCTGAATTAGGCTGATGGTGTCCACAAACAGTGTGTCGTTGGGCTGACACCTTGGGAGCTCTCATGTAGGAGACATGAGATTCATTTATATTGCATGCAATCTACCATATCCATGTGTGAGGATTTCTTGACTTTTGAGAAGGAACTTAGCTGGAAGACATGACCATGCCAATACAGTATTCCTTTTCTTACAGAGAGCCTGATAAAGAATTTTTGAAAAACAAAAACACCAACTACAGTTCTGTGATTACATGTGAATTTGCTGGTGTTTGATGTTTACTGTGGTCATATGGGTGCCGTTATTAGAACAGTTATTTTCAGTTGCATGCTTGGCCATATCGTGGGACTGGTGTATCCTGAAAGCAACAGGCAGAGCAATGTGGTTTGCCACAATCACATTGTTTTCACACATGATACGCCAACAGAAGTTGTTTATCTCTTGCTGCCTACGCAGTTAACTCATCTCAACTCTCACCTGTAACTAGCTCTGTCTAAGCCTTGGATATATCTGACAGAGCAGTTAATGGTTCTGTCCCGCTGCAAAGCAATATAGACATTGCTACCTTACATAGGAATTTGTATGTTACTTAGCAAGCTGCATAGTATCTTTCATTTTTCTTGTACTCACCTCCTCAAAATGACCTCAGCGTTTAATCCATGGATGTTTCTGTTACAATGTCAGGACCACATTATGTAAATTCCATTTGAATTTTCAGATAATGGCGTGAAAGGCAGGTCCTACAGACACATTTCTTGATGTGTTAAGTGTGGCATTTTGAGTCTCTACAGTACTTAGAAATATCTATGCTTGACATTTACAAATATGCCATAGTTCATTATGAATATGGGCAAAGAACACTGTTGCAGGCAATGGTCATTCAAAACCAGGGCTGCATTTTACACCACATGGCTATGACATCTGTTTATAATGTCCGTTCATGCACTGCAATAACATTATGAAGAAGAGAGAAATGTGAACAGAGAAAGCCCCAAGAGACCGAAGGCTGGGTTCTCCTAATTTTAAAAACTATTTACAGTACAATTACAATTCTCACCTTACCCATTGGAAAGATGTAAGAATTCCACTTTTTAAAAAATCTGAAAGTTACTTTCTTGGTTTACCACTCTCAGAATTCCTCAGACAGAACGACTGTTGACTGGGGCTTCTGGAATATATACTCAAAAAGGCAAACTTTCTGAGAGCAGTCTGTGAATTCAATGAAGCACATTTTATCTTATACAGTGACCTGCCTTGAGTGAATAGAAGCAACCTTAACATGGATGTAGAAAGACTTATCATCCTTATTGCATTGGGTTGTCTTCTTCAGTTGTCTTATCCGTTGTCAGTAGATGTTCATTTCTTCTGGGCCTGTCCAGGTGGATATATAGACTGGCATTTGGACTGCTGTCGGTACAATTTGGTTTGAACCAAACTTCATTGTCCACATGTGTTTCTACTTAGATGGACACATCCTGCCCCTTTAAGAGCTGTCCTGTTCCTCTCTGGTACAGGGCTAGGGGCTTCTGGCTTTGTTTTGTTTTGTTTTGCTCAAATCAGCACACTCCTATTTATCCCATATGTAGCCTGTGAGCATGGTTAGTTCACCCAAATGGATCTGTGAGCAGTGTCGGAAGTGACAATCTTTTGACATAATAGATTGATAGTGACATTAAAGGGGAAGGTGGAGAAACCCCCTCCTCTACTTTCATCTTCTTTTTATTATTTTCCTAACTGACTTAGCACAATTCTAATACCATGCTGGGTTGATGCAAGTAGTTGCATTGCTCTTTTGCAAAAAAAGAAAGAAAAGAAAAAAGGATGTCAGTTTCATGGGTTGCACTGCACAGGACAGTGTAGCCCCAGAACAGCCCTGGCTGAGGAGAAAGAAGGGAAAGGGGGAGTTTTACCTCCCGTCCCTCTTTCCAACCTTCACCCCAGTGTTTTCTCCTCACACCAGTACCAATGCCATGAGTTTGTCCCACTGCTACCTCCTTACTCGTCAGTAAAGCAGGTAAACATACTTTTGGATAATCCAATGATTAAGAGACTTATGTGAACTCTTCTCACAGGAGAATAAACATCTCTAGTATGAACAGAGACTTTTGGATAATCCAATGATTAAGAGACTCATGTGAACCCTTCTCACAGGAGAATAAACATCTCCAGTATGAACAGAAGGATGGCTCAAGTGAGAGCTAAAATAGAGTACACTGGTTTTAAGTACAAACCAGACCTCTACAAATTCTCCTGTCTGGACAGGCCCTGAGTCTCAATTACTGTATTTTACCGTGTATACAACCCTCCCAATGTATAAAATTACCCCCTAATTTTGACCCTTGATGGAGGCAGCGGAGCAGTTATTGGGCAACTGCTCCTCCACCTCCACCTCCTGCTGCTGCTGCTTTCTCCGCAGCCCACACGATTACCTCCTCCAGTGCAACTGCCGACTGCCGGGGCTCACCTCCAGCTCAGGTCGCTGCCTTGTCCCCTGCCCTAAGGAGATTGTGGGAGGAGGTGATCCGGCAGCGACAGCAGGAAGAGGTGCCTGAGCGTGAGAGAGTTCTTGTTTGCCTCTGCCTCTGCCTCCTGCTGCCTCCGCCACTGGAGGGGACAAGCCATGAGCTCCGGAAGAAGCAATTGGGCGGCAGCAAAGCCATGAGCTCTGGAAGAAGCAATTGGGCGGCAGCGGCAGCAGCAAGAGGCGCCCAAGCGTCCATGCGACTGCTTTCTTCCGTATATAAAACAACACTCAAGTTTTCCTCTAATTGTTTTAGGAAAAAGTGTCATTTTATACACGGAAAAATACGGTAAGTTGTGTCCAGAAGAAAAAAGGTGAACTGAAGATTAATGACTACCATGCTGGGATCCAATCATGTCTGTCAGTCTGATACCACACATGTCTCCAGGATAGCCATTCAGTTATGTTAAGCGAAGGTCTGCCTTTCCTTTGATTGTTCTGCTGGCACATTTTTTGCCAGTGGGACAGATGCAGTGGCAGAATATCCTATTAGTGCATTCTGATAATTTCATCAGCATATCTGTAAGAGGAACAGCGTATCTGGTGTTCTGGTGATATAGCCATATGGTCCATGATGCTGTGAAGTGTTCTGGTGATATAGCCATATGGTCCATGATGCTGTAGTGTTTGCACTTCAGCATAGTGTTTGCACCCTTGATATATCTTTGTAGCGAAATCCTCTATGTATTTGACTGAGAAAGGAATCCCATTTAGTTCACTGTGTCTGACTTCTATTTAAATGAGGCTGCAACTACACTGCAAGTTGATTTCAGCTTTTATTACAACTGAATTTGCGGTCAGTGATCACACTGGGGCTGCCGATTGATTTGAGAGTTCAGTGTTCATAACTGATGCAATGTAACCCACATTTCAGCCCACGGCCCCCCTTCTTTTCTTCCTTCCTCTGGTTCCCCTCTGCCAATCCTTTTATGGTTCACTGTCAAGCCTCTTGGTTTTAAAAGGCTTTTCAGTATTCCGGAAAAGGGGGCAGTGTTCCAAAATTCTTCTTAACACATACGGAAATACCACATAATATTGGAAGATTGTTTATTTTTATTGTTTCTGTTTTGTTCATATGTTAGTCCTATTGTAATTCATTAAAATTTCTCTTTTGCACTCCTTTATAAAAGTATAGGAAGGTTTATGATACAAGGCAAAATTATGGTTTGTGATAGCCATGAGTGATTGTACGTTGTTGATTTGTCTGAAACATTAAGCAGAGAGGAATGAAAAAAGAAGTGCCCAGTCTTGTATGGAAGGGCATATGTAATAACTTCCAGAGCTCCAGCACTTTCCTTCCTAAAAGGAGCCTCCCTGGTTTCAAGACACCCAAGTTTAACTCTAAGTATAGATCCATTGGCTGTAAAAGCTAGTGTGGAATTCCCTTTTTAAGACTACAGTACTGCTATCAGAATATCCCAGCCAGTATGGCCAATGGGATTCTGAGATACATGGGATATATACTCCTGCTGTGAGGAATGTCAAGGACTTTGGCGGTACTTCTTAGATTGCTGTACTTAAAAGGTAAAATGCAAAGGAACTTGAAGTAAACATCACCAGTCTTAACACCTGATCCAGTTCTCATTTTCTTATATCTTGGCCCTGACAGTTTTCATTTTCCTATGGATGGCGACCCTCATATCACTCATTCTTAACTCTTCTGTCTTCTCAAGCACAACCTTTTATTAACGTTTATTTTTGCTGTCTTTATGACAGGCTGCTGTGGCATATGAGCAAGAAGATTTCCAGAAATATTGCCTGGGTTTCATTGAGAATTGTACTCAGGTAAGCAAGGGATAGATACTGGGAGTCTCCCATGCATAGAGGAGACAAAGGCAGTTATCTGGTTCTGTGGATGTCCTCATTGTATGACCATATTTTCTTCCATCCATTCACCCATCCATCTCTATCTGTACTAGAGTTGCTGCTGAGACCCAAGTACATAGCATCTTTCTCCTTCACATCCCCCAGGAGGTTGTAAAAACACGTGGTTTCTTGGAATTGTCCGACCTAGCAGTGCAAACTATGCTGCAGAGCAACTGCTTGACCATTGATGAGGCAAAGCTGGTACAAGCTGTTCGCGAATGGGCTCATGTTGGATCTGTAAGTGCTAAAATATGGTGGAAATTCAAAATAGGGCAGCAATTTAATGTTCTGTTCATGGTGTTCTTGTGTAAAAACTCTAATTCCATTTTTATTTATTTAAAACAATTAAAGTTTTGGAACAGCCCATGGCATGAATAATGGTCTATGTCTGTTCTGCACTTCTGCTGCTCTATATATTTGCAGGCTGTGCTGGGCAAGTCTGTGAAGGATGTAGCAAGGCCAGTGGTGGCAGGGCTGCGTCTGGCTCTGCTGTCACCAAGTGAGCTGACGACTCTGGAGGAGCAGAACAGAAAGGATCAGATGATTCCGGTGAGAGACTTTACCAATGTCCCTAATTGCTACCCAGCTTTTGAATCTGTTTGTGACTTTGTGTATTCTTGCATAGTTTGAGCAGATCAAGTGCTTCTAGTTGCTCCATGGAGGCCCTTCCTTATTGTGGAATGGTACCTGCATGTGTGCTAGAACCAGAATCAATGCCATTTGAAGTTTTCTAAGCAGGAGGAGCTATCTTGCCTTTCCTGGACTATACTGGCAGAAAGATATGCCCCCCCAACTCTCAAAGGAAACGGACGTGCCTGCCTGCATTAGCAAACAAAGATGAAATTGTATAAAGAACTTAAGAAGAAGAAATAAATAAATGTGTAGGGATAAGAAAGAATATAAATTCTGGAATTCCTGCCTGCCATCCAAGAATGCTGTAGCAATCCAAGCCCCAAGTTCCATCATACACTCTTGGTAAACAAAGTGGCATGAAGGTGGTCCTAACTTGGAAAACTCTAAGGGTGCAATCAGATGGACATTTGTTCCACTGTTTGTTCTGCTGTGGAGTTGGGCTGGTTTGCTCCTTTTTCAGGGATCAGATGACATAATTGCTGGAGCAAACCAAGCCACTCCCAGAGTGTTCTTACTCACATATTTCTGGGTCCTTGCCAGGGGCTTCTTTTGTTTTGGTGCAGGTAGGATCTCTCCATTTTGGTTCATTTCCAGTGCATGCAATTACTGGGATTGAACCAAAGCAAGCTTCCTTCTTTAATTTCCCAGCTGGTTTCAATGTCCCCATATCATTAGTGGGTTAAACAGACATCTAAATCACTTAATAATACGGGGAAATTAAAATTTCCTCTGCTAAGTAGAGGGAGGAAGCAATTAAAAAAACCTTTGAGCAGTGCTGATGCACTGTGCCACTTAGGGAACACTTTTAAACATTGAAATATTCCCCCCAAATGTCAGAGGAGATAGGAGGGGAGGAAGAACAGAGATTTTTTTCCTTGTCTTTTTGCTTTCTTAAAGGAGCTGTACAAAATAGAGTCGCTTGAGGTGTGTATGCTATTTTGATGCAAGGATCACACCAAATGACTTAACAGACCATTACCTGACCTTTAGGCAACCATATATGGCCCAATCCAGCCCACTGCCACTGAGCCCATGTAGACAAGCCCTAATTGATTGAATGATTGATTGATACTATTTATATTCCTCCTTTCTTCCCGTAGGAGACTCTAAGTGGCTCAGAACAATTAAAATTATACAATAATTAACAGTTTTATAATACTATAGAAATACAATGTTAAAATCCAATTAAGCGATAATTAAACTCCTAAGTGCATGGAATGTCCTACGTGCAGCTCCTAGAAATTCATTGTAAGAAATACCTGTTAATTTAGGGAGACATTTGTTTTTATATTGCAATATTTATAGAAATGCCACTCCCAACACAAAAATGTTTGCACAAAATGGTTAAAAGGGAGCAATCCATTGAGATCTGAGCATGCGCAATAGTTACAGAATGCTGACTGTTAGGACTCACTTGGCGGGGAATAGGCATCGCTGATTGGCTGGCTGGAAGGAAGGAACACGAGCAGGAGCACTCCACACCCCAACATGATATTTCAGATCTGACATACAAACCTTGCACAGCACTGTGTAGAATATTATGCATTTTCTTCTGCCCACCCTCTTTCATTCCAGGTGGAAAGCCTGGCTGAGGCTTGGAAGACACATGCCCTATGGAAGGGGCGCAGTGTGCGATCCACCTTGTGCCGGCGTCGGTGTGGCACACTGCCCCGGGAACATCATCGCCGCCTTGACCCACAGCATAAGTGAGATGCCACCTTCTGAATGAGAAAGAAGCAGGTGGTTGGTGCTCAGCCCAGCCATCTTTCTTGTTGATACTGAGAACTGGAAGCAGTTGCTCTGATGCCTCAGAATAGGCGTCCTATTATCACCCTACCCTGTAACCTACTTGGCAGGAGCTGGATAAAAAATCCCAGTGTATCAAAGGCTTCCCAGAGTGGGGTTGCATCTCATGGTTTGGATTTTGATCCCATCCCTCTATTATTGTTAATGTCAACGCATTCCTGCCCTTGGTGGCAAGTGCCTCTCTGTGATGCCAGCTCTTTCCTCCATAAACAGGTCTGCTTCGTGATAAACTCCTCCTTCGTGAGACTCAACTTATGGCTGGAACACTGGAAAAGAAAGTTTGACCTGGCTAGAAAGAGAGTCACGAGGCACTATTTACCTATCCTGCATGGAGAAGAAGGATTTTTGAGATATCACTGGTGGTGAAAAAAATCTATTTATAAGGACCTTATGAAGTTGTACTGGTGTGACAAAGACCCAGTAATTCCTACAGTATTTGTGAGCTGATCACAGAAAGTTAGGACTGGGAGTGAAGTGACTTTGGACTGATAACAATGCATTTCTTCCTATGAAATGTCTGGTCTGGATGAAACATCTGGAAATAGTGGGATGGGACTGAAGTTAGTGCTGCCACCACAGGGAAAAGGAAAGCATAGGCCTATCATAAGGAACACTAGGCTATCAGGAAATGAAGTATTGCAGAAAACAGAGGTGTTTGTTAAAATGCCTGCATACATTTACCTGTCAGGCTTATCACTTCAAAACTGTCACTTCAGTTGTTCCTATAGATGACTCAGCAGTGCCACCACCAGCAGAGGCTTACATTGCAGACATTCAGGATACTGCTTTCACAGGTTTGTTAGAAGATAGGTTTCCTTGCCACTTCTCCTGGAAAGAAAATCTTAACTACTGCTCAACATCATGTTCGGATTTATTCAAGTATTATGGTTCAAATATATATGCATCTCCTTTCTGGGTGGTCAAACGAGAAGGAAGTTGTTTTATTTTAACCTGAGCCCTAGTTGAGAATGTCCTTATCTACTGGCAGGATCAGCTGTTTACAATGTATACGTATTGTGCTCTGTTTCATTTTAAATGGACAAAAAAACCTTCAGAACAACAGTAGCAACAACAGAAATAAAAGTTATGTCCTGTTGTGATTGGGTTCTTTTGAAAACACTGTCAGTTCCTCAGTTTTGGTGGGAAGAAGCGACTGAGACTGATTTAAATGGTTTTCATCTTCAACTTTATTAACTTGCGGCATATAAATTATTAGACCAGCAGGGTCAAAACAAGACAAATCCCGCAACTGGCCATAACTAGTCCATGTAGACTTTTCCTCTGTTGGTGTCCCACTCACTGCGGCACAGGGCCGAAGCATTCGCGGTTGGTGATCCTGAGCAGGGATGCGCTCCTCATCGCGCAAACTGTCCCACAGCATGGGTGACGCAACCAGTCTCCTTCTTTCGGCGGAGAGTTGTAGACCGGACCGGGACATATCACCCTTTCCCCACAACCTTGCCCCCATGGGAACACTATCATTGTCCATTCCAGCATCTCACATACCGTCTCTCCTTCTTTTGGAGTCTCTGAGTTAGGCAGTAAACCTCCTATTTTAAGGTTTGGAAAGTCAGTAAATCCTGCACTTGCTCATACTTCTGTTCTCTTTGATCTATTTTAATGGATTCTTTATTCTCTTCACTCTCCTTTTCTCATCTACCTCCAAATCTCCTTTCTCCCTCCTCTTTTATATCTTCCTCCCACATTGTGACTCTTAACTCCTCCCCTTTCTTTCCTTCTCCCTCCTCCACTAGACAAACCTCTATGTTCTTCTTTTCCTCAACTAACATCCCTTTTATCCCATCCCGTATCTTTCTCATTAATGTCTTTCTCCTCCTTGGGTGGTCTTGATAGTGAGGACGGCTCACTTGCCTCCTGATCTCCTTCACACCTGTCATGTCAGAACTGACTTGCAGCAATCGACGGCTCACTTGCCTCCTGATCTCCTTCATACCTGACATGTTGGAAATGACTTGTAGCAATTCTAACAGGGTTTTCAAGGCAAGTCAGATTTTAAGGAGTGGTTTTACCAGTTCCACTTTCCCATGGCCAAGTGGGAATTTGAACCCTGTTCTCCAGAGTCCTAGTCTCATCACTCTATCCACTACTACACCACACTTATGCCCCTTCAAATGTAATCGACACGACTTCATACATTTTTTAGGGTGTGCCAAATAGTGCAATATTCAAATAAACGGCAATCTTGGAAAACAGACCAAAGAACATATTCAAATTAATTGAGTTGCCAGTTGGATAGTAGTAGATGCTGGATTTGGTTGTTAGCTCAGACCAAATTGCAACTATCTCTTTCACAGCATATATGCCCACCAGCCAGTCGCAGAACATTGGTATAACCTCTGGGGAGTCAAAATACAACAAAAAGCCTGGTTGTGCCTCCAGCAACCTGAATGGGAGATATGGAAAAGAATCTATTAATGTGGAACAACTTTTAGATGTGTGCTCCATTGGTTTAACACTAACTGGGATTCACTTTTTTTAAGGCTAAAAAGGTGGGAAGTGGGTAGATTTGGCCAGATGTGCCTAAAAGTAGCCTGGAACATGTTGCTTGTAATTTGAGTGACTGGGAGGGACTGCTAGTCTGTCCAGCACTAACCAGTCATTCACTCCCTCTCTTGAATTTAAAGAGAGCCCTACCTCTCTGATAATTTGCCCACCCTTTAGTCCATTGCAAGTCTCTTTATTGTTAGCTTGTTGTTGATCCTTTCATGCCTGTAAGTAATGAAACATATTATTTCTCCTATAAATGTCTCAGAGTGAGTTACTGAAAATCAAAGAGCCAGGTAATGAGAAAGGGGTGGACTATCTGGGGGAACTTGAAGCTATTCTCTGTGAATCTCTTTACTTCTACTGCATAGCAAAAGGAATGTAAAAAAATATTCAAAACTCCAACATTTTCTTGGGACAGCTTAACCTTGATCAGGGAGTGGCCAATCCTGTGAATGTATAACCAGTGTTCAGAACAAATGGGATCTGACACAATCTGCCTACCACTCCTTTCTCTTAGATAGCAGTTGCCCAAAGTGCTTTAGACTTGAACACAGGCAGGCTCTAGCCAGCACCATTTGTTTGGGTACTGGTTGTTAGGGAGGCAGATGGCTTGGGAAATACTGTAAAGACAAAACCTATTTTTCACCTTGTTGGAATGTACTGAGTCACCTGTGTCTAGGCATTGCTAATTCTTGTTCCTGTAATAAAAGAAAAAGTGGAGTACATTACTGGGGTTAAGGACGAAGGAAAAAGATGTAAGCCCTTTGAGAATTGTACATTATTAAGTGCCTCGGAAATGTGGTTCTGAACTCAAAGCATTTTGAACACAGACCTAAACTAATTGACCACAGGTCTGGAGGGGCCTAATTTTGGGAAGGCTGTTATAAATTGAGCCCCTCAAATGACTGTCTGTCATCTGAAGAGCTTCCAGAAGCTATTCTTTCTTCTGAAGGTGTCCTCTGTTTGAAGGGCTATCCAGTCCAAGTCTGATTTAAAAACAAAGAACTAAAAAGGAGGGAAGTCAGAACCTTGAATTTCCCTGTTCACAGAGAGCATCCCAGGCACCAGACTCAGACAGTACACAAATTACCCAATTTCAGTCTTCCCTACCTGAATGTTGTGTTTTGTAATTCTGTTTAAAGTGTATGTGTGTGTATATAAAATTCTGACCTCACATCTGTACATTACACAGTCATTTCTAATATTGCATCTGTACATGTTAGCATAGCAGTGTTCTGCAAATCACTGTCCTATTTTGCCTTACTCTTTGGTGAAGCATGTTATCCTTTTGCTGGTATTTAAGTGACCATCAAACATTTGCCACCCTACCCACCCACCACCCTCAGCTCCTATTTAGTTTGCTGATGGAAGCATGCAGTAGAAGACCTTTAGCTCTCATACGGCTGCAGTCCTGGGGAACAGATTAAAAAGCATAATAGACATGCATACAAAGTTATTTGCGTACAATGCCTTTGCGTGCATATTTATTATGCTTTTCAAGCTGTTCTTTTTCTCATACATAAAATGTTTTGTTAAAAACAAAAGAAATACTTTTCTCAATAGATACAGTGATGCAGATCTACTATTGAGTAATTTTAATTGAGAATACAGAGTCCTGGGAAAAATCCTTATCCTCCTTATATTAAGCAACATCAAAACTGTACACACCCTGACTTGCAGCTACTTCCTACATTAGGTAGGAGATGATTTCTGAATGCCATGTATGGAACTCACAAGGATCTGTTTTTCATGCTGCACCTTTATCTCAAGGAAGAAGGCTGGGGTGATTGGCTGTGTTAAGGTTTTGGCTTCACTGAAATGGGGACAGATGTCATGTTCTTGGTGAGAATTATATCTAATTGTTGTTGTCTTGATTCTGGGAATTAAGGAGTTGCTTACAAGATTTCCCTTTTGGAGTTACACATGTTGTCCAAATATCACACATAAAATATATGGCTTAGCTTGTGCTGTCCTCACAGATGTTGACATGGCTTGGGATGGGCATAAGGACCAGTGGAACGTGCTCTGTCTGTGTGATCATTCTCATGATCTCAGTATGAGGGAAAGGCACATGATATTTCCAGCCGCATTTTCTTCCACTAAGGGTGTGAGAAAATACAAGAAATAGCTTGTGGCAAAGTCTGGTGAGAGCCATTTTCTGTCAATCAGACAGTGTACAGAAGATAACAAACTAGCCCGACCCTGTTCTATGCCCAGGCTAGACCTTTGAGGTCTAGCGGTAGGGCTACCATTTTTAAAACTTGGCTGGAGTGATTCCTGGACACCCAAACCCATCACATTAAGGGAGATCATTTCCAGGGAAGCAACCCTTTGCAGTGCAATCAAGCACAATTCTTTATCACATCTAATCACACCCTAACAATTATATTCCTGATTGTAGCAGTATACCTGACTGTAGTCAGCCTACCCAAAACATAAGATTGACACAGTGGTAGCATCTTATTTTTCAAGGTCATGTGTTAAAAAAGGAGTGGCATACCTTCTAGGAAAAAAAAGCAAAACAAATCTTTTTTGGATCAACAATCCCAACCATCTGTTACTCTCTGTATGTCAGACCAATTTGCATCTGGAGATGTGTTAATAGTTTTGGAAATAGGTTGCATTCTAATTTGCATTTGTTCCCAGTTGTGGCCTGTTATATACATAGGAGTGCAAGATAGAGAATCCCGTTTGAAGTGAAAACCTTCATGCTTAGGCTTCTTAATATTAACATAAATTAGTCAAATAAAAGAGACTTGTGTTCTTCAAGGCTTTCACAGCCAGCTTTCATACATTGGTGTGGATTTACTGTACTAGACTCTACACACATTAGGGCGATGTGTATGTGTATAGCTTTGCTCTTTTCCACCCACCCCCATTGTAGTGATTAGGAAAGTATGCAGAGGTCCTGCTGCTAGAACAAAGACAGCAAAATATAATTCTAGTCACCTCTTTTTTGATGGCTAGAATCCAGGCCATTAGTCAGGACCTCCTAACCCGCACCATGCACTTGAGAAACATTGTCAAAAGTGCCTGTGTCAATTGTGAGATCTTCTGAATCAGGGTTAGGTGAATTGTGCATTCATAATAGGATGTTGTGCCAAGAGGGCAGGAAAAAGAAGACCCTTCTCCCTCTGTCAGCTGTATCAGACCCTCTGTCAGCAAAGTCAGGCAGGGATTTGAGTCAAGAGGCTAAAACAACAAAGGAAATAGAAGCCAGACACTTAGCACAAAGCTAAAAGGACAGTGGTAGTGTTGCTGATCTGTAGGTTATCCACACTCTTTCTTCTGGACATGCTGTAGCACAAGCTGAGGCCAAACAAGAGTTAAATGTTTTTCTCAGCATGGAAAATGCATTTTCCCAAGTGTTGTCATGGTGCAAGAAATACTAATCTTAAGGAAAGAGTGTGTGAAAACACACTCTTCTCTTGACAAGGGCGTCAACTTTCTTCCATCCATATTCTGTTACTTCAAATAACTTAGAAATTGATTTTCCATGGACAATAAGTCTGTGAGATGGACTGGCTAAGAGACAGTGTCTTAGGGTCACCTACAGCAGAAGCTTTAATTTTGGAACAGGGAATAGGGTGAAGGCATGGAGAAGGAATGGAATGGTGTACCTATTAGGAAAACACCACAAACCCTTTTGTGAGACAGAAGCTTAGCTAGGATATAAGATTACATATTTTCAGATTTACTGGTAGGCGACCGATCAGTCCGCAATGGAATGTGTTAGTTATCTAAACCAAGCGAAAAACATACCATGGGGAAAATAGTAGCTTTGAAGACTGAGAAGTTCTATTTGTACTTCTCTATTGCCCTCTGCTGGTGAGACTAAATACTTATGTGTGTATTAAATGCTGCTCCAATTAGCACAACCCAGGGCCTTTCCAGATGTTGGGCTCCTAACGCCACCAACCAAAAGGCACATTCAGATGTTCCATATTTTCCCCACAACATATTTTTCATGGTA